CTTCACATATTTTTGAAAATTACCAGCGATTTCCAAACAAACTGTTTATAAGTAAGAGAAAATTTTGAGTCCTTCAGCCTTGAAGTAAAGTTACACTGACGGCAGAGTCATATGCATGCATGCGCATGTCTTTTGAGCTTCCGTTCTCCAGCAGTACGAAACACACCATGCTATCAAAAGTGGAACAGTTTCCAATCTCCGCTGCACGAGGGGGGGGGGGGAGTTGCAGCAGCCTGCTGCAGGGCGCGCCTGGAGTGTCGTGTCGGCGGCAGAAACTGGGCCTCTTATTCTATTTCCACTGCCGTCCGCCTCCCCAGTGGCCCTCTCTTTCTCTCTCTCCCCTTTCTTTACCCCTGACTCCCCGTTGGGGCACACAGCCCCCCCCCCCCCCCCCCATCCCACACTCTCTCCCCCTCTGTCTCGCTCGCCCATTCGCCCGCCCGCCCCGCAGCCGCCGCCCTCCCGTGAGCGGCCCCTCAACCCTTTCCCCCTCCCTCACTCCCTCTCTCCATCCCTCCCTCCCTCCCTCCGGACCCGACTCTCGCTCCCGCCGGCCGGGTCCCGACGGGCCCCCTAACCATATCAGGGGCTCGTGCCCCGCCTGCCAAGAGTGTAGCGGGGGCGGCAGCGGGGGCGGCAGCGGGGGCGGCAGCGGGGGCGGCAGCTGCCGCACGTGTCGGGGGCACCTGCAGGTGCAACAGCTGCACGGCCTCCTAATGGGGAGGCTGTGTCCCCCGCCGGGTCCCCGACCGGGTCACTGGGTCAAGTCAAAGCACACCGCCAAATAGGGAGAGGGGAAGCGCGATAGGAAATGAGGGGCGCGCGGTCTAGTGCCCCAAACCTCCCCCCGCCCCCTTCACCGTCTCTCCGGCTTTGTCGGGCCTATTTGTGTTTCGGTTTGTGTTTGGCCACGGCAACGCGGGCGTGCTGATCCTCGCCTTCTTCTTGATCTTCTATTCTGTCTTTCCCGGAAAGAGGCGTGCGTCGGCCGGGACTTCCCTCTTCCCTGCTCCTTTTACACAATTTTCCACCTCTCCCCTACCGCCCCCCCCCTCTCTCT